TATTAAGCATATTGACTGAAGACATGAAACTATCACCTTTAAGTAAACATCACAAAGAAAGTAAGTTGGGTAACAAAGTACATGAAAACTGATTTTTCAACAGTAATTTGTAATGATGAATTTAGAGCTATATTGGATGGATCTGATATCTAAGCTATATATTAGAATTGTCATAAAAATAGCCAATCTACATAACTTAGAAAACAACTGAAGGAGCTGGGGTAATGTTTTGGGCTAGTAAAATTATATGTTCTTTCAAAATTGATGCTGGTTCAAGATAAATGCAGAGAATTATTGTAAATCTTTGGACAAAATTTCTTTAAGTGTTTCAAGTTACAAGCAAGAAGCTTTTAGCTAATGAGCATATTTATACAGAACAATGCTCCTTCACCTTCTGCAAAGTGAGCTATTAAAAGCTACCAAAATGGGTTCCAAAAGCTATTAAAAGCTATCAAAATGGGTTTAAAAAATGTAAATAGAAGGCTATGGTCCTGTCTAGATATTAATCCAATAGAAAAATTGCATTCCATCATTAAAATACATGTACATGAAAATGAAAACCAATATTCAAGCATAGAAGTCTCTGGGAGAGTAATAGAAACTGCTGCAAGTAATATTAAAGTTGAAATGGAAGAAATGTTCACAAAATCAATGAGTGAATAACTGATGAAGGTTATAGAATGTCACAGAACCTATATTAACATGTAAAATAATAAAATATTTTATTCAGGGATATATGATATTGTGTTGATCAAATGTTTGTTTCTATGGCTTATATTTTTTTAAATTAATGATAAAAATTTATGTTCCACTTTGCATAATAAAACCTGACACCTTCCAAATGTTATATAACAAATGGTTATACATAGTGATGGTATCTTAAATTTCCAGGAACTGGTTCTATAAAGGTAGTTAATCTTTAGGAACCTATTCTGCTTATTTTATTTCAATCTGAGAATGGAAACAAGTCACTTTATAGTATCAAAAAGAATGAAACCATTTTGATAATTTAAAAGAAAACACTTATTTAAGATATTTCTAGATTGAAATTCTGCTCTCATCGTATTTTTTTCAGAAGTATGATACCTTTTGGCTCTAGTGTCATTATTTGTGTTATGGGTCCTTTGCCACATTCAAACTGAATTGCTGTAGTCCTAAAGATCCAATGAAAGACTTATCAAATTTATGACTAGATTTGCACACTTTTAACTTCAAAATGATAGGGGTTGTGTGTCTATTAGCGTTTCACTTGGCAAGTGCATGAGTGTAGTATGACATTTTACCTAGACTATTGGCTATTAATATATAAGATTATTTTAGATAGTCTAACAACCAGTTTGTGCAAACCAGTAGGATGCCACCACTGGTTATACACTACTCAAATTTACTTAATGTCATCTCACTGTTTACTGAGCAAGCCCATTGAAGAGTATCAGTCAAGGCAATTGTTGTGGCCTTGTTAGGGCCAGAAATAAAGACACAAAAAGAGGAATTGAGTTAAACAAATATATTACAAAAACAGTAATACAAACAAGAGTATTACAGCAAGAATGTTTGGTCCAACTCTTAGTGCTGACTGCTGAAAAATTCCCTCTCCAAAAGGCAGTACCTACTCCTATTTATAGCTGGGAGAGTCCATGCATGCATGGGTAAATTACCATAATAGCAATACAGCCGAGTCTTAAGATATTCAACTAACTGGATACTCTCGTATTTCAAAAAGATCACTTTACATTGTTTAGTGGCAATATATCCTGAAAATGTTACCAACATTGGTTGGTTAATACCAATTTGATTGTGAAGACATTGACTTGCTTAGTGTACTATAATTGGTTGTTTTTGATACAATTATTACAGTTAAAACCATTGTTTTGAATTATATATAAATACATATAAAATTATAGGCCTCAAAAGGTTCCAATGAGAGATGTGCATTTCTTAAAATGAGATCATTGAGCCTTGCTTTTCTTTAAGTTTATTTTATGGATGAGTGGTATAAAGCACACTGCTTTTCTTCATATAGGGGGAATGCAGGTTAAATTGCTGCCAAGTGGCACATTTTCTTTATTAAGACTTTCAATTGCTCAGGCTGGTAGACATTAATTATATTTTTAAAAAAAAACAATAATGCCTACTCAAACATGTATCCAATAAATATAATGTTTACAGTAATAAAAAATAATATCAGATTAAAAAAAAGTCCTTCAGTTCTCTAGAAATTACTTTGTTTACATTTTGGATACAAAAATAAAATTAATGATCATAGGCTTCAGAAGGGGCCAATTAGAAATATGCATTTTTTAAAAAAGTTATAGGGGATCACCATGGCTATGGCATCCTCTGGAATTGCTGCAACCCTTCTGCCTGGTGGTGGGATAGCGCACTTCGCCTTTAAACTACCAGTTAATTTGACTTTGTCTGATTCAGTGACCTGCAACATCAGCAATGGTTCAAATAAGGTTGACGTCCTGAAAAGAAAGGTGTGAGCTCATTGTGTGTGATGAGCCCCCAAAGCAAAACGCCAGGTATATCTGCTAGTATATATATATATATATATATATATGTTAAAAATGACTGACAAGGTATTTCTGTCAAGCTTTTTATTGTATTTTTCTTGTATGTGGAAAAGAGATTTCATTTTTGGACTTAGTGTATGTAGAATTTATCCAAATGATTGTTCATTCTAAGCACTTTTGGATAATTTATTAACTATTTTCAAGGATTTTGGTTGCGCTATTGCAAATGGTATATAAGTTCCTGATGATTTATAATTACTGTAATTTCTTATTGCTATAAGTACTACAAACCATTATTACTATAATCTTTATATTTAATGGATCTGTGTTGGTAGGATGTATAATAGTATCTGAAAGAAAAGTGAAGATGAGGCGAAGTGGAAAATTTATTAATGACACATTTCGCTGGGCTCATTTTGGCTTCCTCAGGTTAGAATGAAATTCTCAATTACCCTTTAATAAGAAATACATATTTCTCACTGGCACCTTTTTCATTTTAACCTGAGGAAGCCAAAGAGAGCATAGGCTTTCCAGTGAAATGATTCATTAATAAACTTTCCACTTTGTCTCTATTTGGTGGATACAAGTGTTTGAATAGATATCCCTCTTGTTTGTTTTTAAAAAAAAATAATGGTTTAATTAACATTTACAGGCCTGAGTAATCAGATAATCAGAAGTCTTGATAAAGAAGATATACCTGTTGTCAGAGATCAAATTTGTGTTCCCATTACATTAGGTACACTTTAGTCTGCGTAGTCACATCAGATCTCATAATGCAATATTTTATTTTAAGCTTTCTGAGTGAAATTGGGTAGACAGAACTATTCAGAAGCATGAAGTCACAAGTCATTGTGACTGAGTAGTTGAGCATATTGGTATTGTTCAAACTGCTGATCATAACAGATTATACACTCTCTCCCAGAAACTGTAACTAAGATCCACTCGGCATAGTTGGTGTTGAACAAAAGACAAATGTGCCCAAGCAGGTATCTGTACAGGGATTGGCTAGCAGACAGGTCTACTCAGAAAACAAGAGTAGCTAACAATTATATAAGGATACAAATGTAAATAAGAAGACATTTCAACAGCTTTATAAATATCACTTTCCTAACTGCAATTCAGCAAGTCATTACACTTTTACATATTACTGTCACTATTAGTATTACTCATCTTCTGACCATTATTCTTAATATTGACTATCAAAGTATGTCTTTGTTCATGGCGTTTCAAGTCAGAAGGCATTAGGAATGTCTTGTCACAAATATCGCATGCATAGCTCTTCTCCCCAAAATGAATCTTTAGGTGACGTTCAAGGTTTGAAGAACGTGAGAAAAGTTTCTGGCATATTTGGCACTCAAAGGACTTTTCACCTGAGTGCACTTTAAGGTGTGTAGACAGGTGTGTCGCTTGAGTGAAGGTTCTTTCACATTGGTTGCAAGAGAAACTAATCCCAAAGTGTATCTTTCTGTGTCGTGACAGGGTAGATGACTGAGTAAATGACTTAAAGCAGAGGTCGCAAGTGTAGGGCCTCTCTCCAGAGTGAACTCTTAAATGACGAACCAGATCTGAAGAAGTTATAAATCTCTTAGAGCAGACAGCACATTGAAAGGGTTTCTCCCCACTGTGAATTTTTTTATGGGTTGTGAGTGATGAGAAGTCAGTAAAAGATTTTAAGCACAGGTCACATGTGAATGGTCTTTTACCAGAATGTGACCTTAGATGTCGAGTCAGATCAGACAGAAGGAAAAAATGCTGATGACAGTTGTGGCAAGAGAATGATTTGGCAGAAGAATGGCTGCATGTGTGTCGAGACAAATTGATTTTGGATGAGAAATGCCCCCCACAGCTGTTACACATGAAAGTCTTCTTTGTTGACTGTAGGCATGTCTGTCTCAAGTAATTTGAAGATTGAGAAAAGACTTTCTGACATGTATCACAGTCATATTTTTTCTCAACTGGATGAACTTGTTTGTGGTGTCTCAACTCATATGAAGAAGGAAAGCAATTGTTGCAGGTTTCACATGTAGCTTTTTGGAAATTATTTTGCTTTTTATTACTGTTAGTCAACATAAGATTCTTTTTACTGTTTTGCCAACTTGGTTTTGGAAGATAGGCTTCATGCTTAATTGACTTCACTTGGGGAATGTAAATTACTAAAAATGTCAACTGTCATTAATCATTTTACATATTTTCTAATTGTGTGTGTGTGATCTTAGATTTTTCTTTTTTGTAAGATTAAATAACTTTAAACTTTGCAATGAAAAAATATTATTGATAATCAGTTTTGGCAAATTGTGTTTGTGAATTGGATGGGATGAAAAACAGTAAACAATTTTTAATTTTAAAAATACTTTTCTGGAATTTTTAATTTTTTAAAAAATCTTTTGCTGGTCTCTGGTCCACATAAAATCCTTTAATATGATCAACCTGAAATAGAAAATAAAGAACAATTTATATTTTGTTTGCTTCAATATTTCAAGGCTTACAGCCACATCAAGTTGAAACTCCAGTTCCTGTATGATCACTGAAGTTAAGCAATGTCAAACATGGTCAGTACCTAGATGAGTGACCACTTGGGAATACCAAGTGCCATAAGCTTGCATGTGCAGTTGGTGTAATGGATAATGGCTCAGAATTGTTAATTGGAAAGTAGAGTTCCAATTCCAGTTATGTTCATTATATTCACTTACATGCAAATACAATTGGGAAAGGTATGTATCCACCTCTTCTCCCCACCACCAGCCATGGATTAATTAATAAGATTTGTATCACTAAATCATTATTATTATTAAAAAATTTTGCAATCCAAAAACCAATTTTTTTTTTTCTGGCTTTAAATAAAGTTGATAAGCTATAGAAAACAATCAATTCAATATTTCAAACTGAGTAAAATGAATGACCATTAACTGTATTAAAGTGGCACTTCAACGTGGTGTAATAGTTAGTAAGCTTAGTTTTACTAGATCAATTATGATTGACTAATGGGTTGGATGCTCCATATTTTCGGCCTTGTGTCACATCTAAGCTATGCTTAGTAAATCATTATTACTAAAGGTCAATTTTCATCCAAAAAAGTTTTGCTGTCTATATTGTAGGATTAGAAGAGAGTTCTGCACTATGAGCTCTTTCTAGGGAACCAAATGATTGATTAGAGCAAGTACTTTCCCAGTTAGGCTAAATGAAGGCAGCAGTTAATGAAAAGTGTGTGAAATTGGTTAAGAGAGATAGGATTAAATTTTTTATTTGGTGACAAAGCAAAGATTTGTTACAGTTTAGCTGGAACATTTCTACTCATTCATTATCTCTAGCTGATATTGCACTTTGAGATTTCCATTTATTCCGATTTTTTTAGAATTGTCTTAATGAAAAAATGTTAATTACTTGAAATACTGCAAAAGGTATCTAATGCAGTTCTTTGTTAGGAAAAATAAAAAATGTTCTGACAGGATGGAATTATGAAGTTACCTCAAAAATGACAGAAGTTAGTGAAAGAAAAAATATGTTCTTTAATAATGTTAATGTTAAAAAAGAAATTATTTTTTTATTTTTACTTAATAAACTGAATGTATATTTTGGCTAGCCAAATCATTTAATGACTAAATAGAATGGTTAATTTTTTTTATGATAAGGAAGAAAAACATGAAAAACAAATTGAATAATGAAACTATGTCTCAGAATTTCACAACTTACAAGTGTTGCCACGAGGTAGTCAACAATTTAGCAAGGAATAAAGTCAGAAGGAAAAAACATTGGCAAAAGGATAAAGAACCTTGCTTTATAAAGGTAACTCTAATATTTAGATATTTTGACATGACATGGGTAACACTTCTGAGGTGCAGGATGCAAGATTAAGCCAGGCTTGAAGCTACACCTTTGTTTTGAGTCCATACATTTTAATGGATAAAAACTTGTCAAAATCTTTTGATAAAATAAAGAAAAAAAAACGATTAAAAAATTAGTCAAAACTATAAATAATAATATGGGTAATAATAAAAAGTATTTGATTTCAGAATTTTAAAACATTGTTTAGGAATTATTAAATATAACTAAACATCATGTATGATTAATTTTCAATATGAGTATATTTTCAGATATTACCAATCAATAAAATGCTTCATTCTAGTTTGAAGATATTTTTTAACTTAACTGAATATAAATATTAATCTGAAGACTATTAATATAATCCTGTTACTTCATGCATTAAAAAGGAAACTTTTCATTAAATTATAAAATAAAGCAGCAGCAACAACAACAAAAAAGAAAACTGGAAGTGTCCTGGCTAAAATCCTGCGAAGTTATTCTACTAATTACAAACAAGAAAATACCAGGAATAAGCAGATTAGATGAAAATGTGTAACACAAAACTAGCTTGTTTTTAACCAATAAAATCAGCTTAATATATTATAACTGCAAGAAATCCCAGTAATAAAATGATTATTTTCAAACAGAGCTAAGAGTGAATAAGAACATGAAAAAATGAAAATATATGCATGTTTACAGATGAAAAGGGTTACATATCTTATGTATTTTCTGAAAATCAGACACACTGGGTTCTTTTTTTATTAAACCTGTTTTGGTAACTCAAATTAAATAAAGAATTTCAGTGAAAAAATACAAAATAGGGATATTTAGTTTTCTTTCTTCAGATATTCAAACACTCTTCTAAAGGTAGTTATATAACTATTCTTATATCTCAGATGTAATACCAGTTATTGTGATTTTGTTTCAAACTAAAGAAGACCAAATTTGTCTCTGGATAAATCAAAACTGCTAAAAGCATACAAAGTCATTTCTATTGTGATAAGACTAGTGTAGAAAAACTCCTATAGGATTTAGCCAAATACATGCAACTAGTTTCTAGGCTAAAGATATTTTTATACGAGTGTCAGGTGATTTAATTGCCAGATTTTATTTGTGTCAATATAAATATAATAACTGTAACCTATTTAATGGGTTCAATAGTTGTGTATTCTCTGTTTGTGCCAATGTTTTATTTTCAAGCCCAAGTAAAATAAGTAATTTAAATACTAATAATTAAAGTAGGTAGATCTTACCAACTTAAGAACAATCTTCAAACAAGGTTCAAACATCCTTTTCTCTCCATTTAGCCTTGTAGCAAACTAAGTTAAACAATAAATATTTAAAAGACAAACATTTTAATGCTGGTTTTCAAGACAAGCAATATTCCCAACTTGGAAATTGGCACAACAAAATTTTCCCACCATATTTGCCTTTGGGCTATGCATTTCATCATATTTGACCATGTGCTGGTTGGTTGATGAATTGATTTGTTTTCTATGGCTTATCAACTCTTTGCAGGGTATTTAAAGTTTACAGCACCTGGTATTCTCAAGCGGTTACCAATCTAGGAACTAACCAGGCTCTAACCTTGGTGATCGTGTTTCAACGTGATATGGCCATAAACCACCTTCAGCTAGACTAAGCAAAAATTTGTAAATATGTATAATTGAGTTTACCACTGTTAATATTTTTATAAGATTGTCTGTAAACATTTATGAATTATAAGCATTAACACTATTAGAGGGATGCAGGAGGTGGAGTCTCAACCCAGCAACAAGTTTTGGGAGTGACCTTTAGATGCATTAATAGATGTTGTGAGTCAAGATTTTGTGGAGAATGCCAGAAAAATTAACTTTTAAAATTGCTGTATTTGTTATTGCTGTTTCAGTCAGAACATAATAAATGGCTGTAATTGTAATCTTCCTTTATATTTTGTAGATGTTGTTTAATGGAGTGGCAAATTCTAGAACCATCCTAGATGGCATAAATGCTAGGTATGCTGCTGAATACCAGTCAAAAGTTAAAAAAGTATTTCATGATTATATATCTGAGAATAAATTCAAAAGGACATGTTCTGTTCATATTCTTTTAATAAAAAAAACAAACTTAACAGGTATTCAGCTGCATAAGAGACTGAAAACAGAGTGGAAGATCAAATGTTAGTATCAGGGCCAATGCAAGAGCACACACACACACACACAAATGTATGATATAGAGCCCACCTAATGTACTGCCTTTTATAAAGTAGTATTCATATAAAAAGTTTAATAATTTTAACACATTCAACATTATGGATAAAAAATAGTGAATTTTATATAGTGTTTTTCTGAGACTAAGCATGAACAAAACAAATTCTCAGATTTGTACAAAAAAAAAAGACCCCAGAATGACATCAAAATCTGCAAAAATTTCTCATTCTTTAATAGTCAGCTAATTTGTAATGTATATAAATGTATGTAGAAAAAAGCAAAAATTGGTAAGATAGTAGGAATCACAAAGCACTGCCTGGGGTTCCCAATCAGACATAGTTGGAAAGTTCAGCAGTAGTACTCCCTGGTCAGTATTAGAATGCACATCAACTATTCACTGCCATGTTAAATGTGGATCTTGTAAAATGAAATTATCTAAGACAATTTGTAGTGATTAATCTAATTGTAAAATGACAATTACATTCATCATTACACATTGCCCTAAAATGCTGGAAAAAATAATATTGTGTTCTCAATAAAATTATAAATGAAAATACACCCGATAGATGTTCTGAAAATATCCCAGCATTACAAGTAAATGCAGGATGTATGAATTCAAAGAGAGTAAATTATAAGAAAGTGATAAAATTATTATTCCGTTTCACTCAAAAAGCTTCTTCCCACAAACTGCAACTTTGTGGAACTGACTTCCAAGAGGATGCTTTCCCAACCACTACAATATTAACCTGTTCAAGGTTTGTCATTAAGGTAACTAAGGAGTCCCGCCTACCCCAGTTTTGAAATCAGAGTGATCCTTTTAGACAGACTACTAACCAAAGTTACATTTTAACTTTTGGCTTGTATTCAGCAGTGTACCAAGCATTTGTGCCACCTGGGACAGTTCTAGAATTTGCCACTAATGAGCTCTGTTTACCCATATTCCAAGGTGTAGGGAACTCCAAGGCAGGGATATTCAACTGATCTGAAAGTAATACCTCCTAATTTATTATGTTGATTCATGGCATCAGAGTCTGATGCTAGTATGATAGTAGAGGTTGAAATGTTAAATAACCATAAAATGATGATGTCTGACATGAAAGTACATATGAAGCACAAGTATGATACTGAATTCTATGCAGAAAATATTTGCCTATATATATATATATATATATATATATATATATATATATATATATATATATATATTCATTCATTGAAACTCAATGAAAATTTATGATGATCAAACAGTAGATGTGAGCACAGGCAGTGGGTAAATCATTCTCTGCTGCCAAACTACATCCTGAGTGTTGACAATGTAGAAAAATAGTGTTTTATACCTGAAAAACCTGTTGTAACTAATGATGGTATTGGACTTCTATTATATGTTGTATTTTCCAAAAGGGGAGGCATTATTTTCTGAGTATTCATTGTATTTACACTGATAAGTAGTCTCTAAAAATAATATTGGCAATGGTGGGGGATAAGAGAGATCTTCTACAAGTTTCATTCAAAAATTACCTGAATTAAGAAATTTAAAAGTCAAATTAATTTTGGAAAAATCAAATTTGGGCACCAAGAAATTTGGAAGCATTAACAAAAGAAA